ACAAAATACATCTTGTAGAATTGTATGAAATATGTGTTGCCCTAAGTACCGAAGTGTCAAACTTAATGAGGATGAAGTATCGAAGCGCATATACTTTGAGTAAGTCTTATAAATATAAATTTAAGCATGAACAAACCAGTCTGAGTTACTATAGGGGTTCTCGGTTTGCTCCTGGCGGAAGCGCACGGGACCAACTTGGTGCATATGGTTATGCGGACTCGTTGACTTTTCATATATGCAAAGCTCACAGCAACCTTGTTGCATAAGGTAATAATTAGAGTTAAATTATCCAATCGATCATGACGATATCCTACACGTTCTACTTGTTTCCCACTTAGTAGTTTTGAATGCAATAATTGATTACCGCTTGTCTATTTGTAGTCTTTGGCATAGATTTCTCTACCTGTAGCTGGTACGGTTATTGGGTAGTAATCAAGTCTGGGAATAGTAGTTGTTGCGGTCGTATTAGACATGACAATTTCTTGCATTGAACGGCGATGATATTCTCTCTTTTTGAGAAGTTCTGAGGCCAAATTTGCTCAAATGGATATTGCCGAAGAATTGTTTCGCCTAACGTTGTAAATTGACTAGAAGATCGTTGCTTGTTGACAAATTAACGATCTTCTTAGATCGAGGTAATATCCTCTATTTTTCTAAAGGTTGTATAGGCCGTTCACTTCTCATTGTAGACGCTCTGTTGCCTTTTCGAGGGAGCCTTCTTGGCGCGATAATTGAACAATACTTGCCTGACCTGGAAAGCTACATATGAATGACTTAAGTAATCCAAACCCTCGATGCATTCAAATAAATACCATCATTAAACACAAGAAGGTATACGTTGCTGTCAACTGCCACGATCCGACATGTGACTTGCCCTCACAATAGTTGATGATGACGTTGCTGATTTTACAAATTTGACATACTGAAGTATACTTCCAATTCTTGCTCAATGCCACGCGAATGAAGTTACAGTTGATTGAAAATGCGTAATTATCGTCCCTGTGCCATGCACAGCTCAAATTAAGAATACGGATTTTATCGATGTACAGGATACATAGAGAGTGTCGTCTTTATATTTCAGAAATCGCGAGACAACTCTGGGTTCTACTAGCGCAAGCAACCGTTTCAATTCTATGCCTGACAACTAATCGACTACTTCTTTGTCCATTGGTATTATACTTGCTCTAAATCTTCTTTACAGTGATCAAAAGAGCAGGGATAGTCAAATCAGCAGTTGCGCCCAATTACTAAAGCGATGTGAACCTGTGAAGGGTGACAAAAACATTATTGACGATCAGAGAAAAGTTGGCAACAATAACTTTTGATCTAATCAAGCAGGACAATATAAATGATAATTGCTCCACGCAAACGAAATACAGGACAAACAAAAAAAAAGGTTCAACCATCGATGGACAAATTGGTTAATGATTCTGAAGTGACATCAAAGTTGAGCTATCAGTGTGGTTAAAACAGTCCGAAGTAGTCGAGCGGGCAACGCATTATGCTCAGAACTATGCCTTAGACACCAAACGCATGGATTACTTTTACATATTTCCCGATGCTGGACCATGCTGTTCCTTTTTGTAATGCATGCCTTACTCAGGGTCGAATTTTCTGTGATAAAATTCAAACGCCTCAATTATTTGTCACCGGCGCAGCAAACTTTGTAATAAAAAATCAAGCTTCTGTAAGCCAACATCGCAGCATGTCTAGCTTGTCTAACTTTGTTCACTATAAAATAAAAGACAGACGTTGGTTCCACTGCTGCTATTGCTGATAACACATTTTCATATCTGACGACTATCGAGCTGCAACTACGATGTCCTAGCCTAGTCGTGCATCCTTCGAGTACATTATTTCCTGATTTCAAAATCTTCGAATCAAATCATCGGGCACAAAATAGGCTCGCTCAATTCTGTATTCTTTGACGGCTTCTTCTGGTCATCAATCCTTCTAACCTGTCCCCAATCGTAGGTCAGACATCTCCACGTGATACTGTATTTCCTGGTTTTTCCCGTATGCACTTCACTAAAATCTCACTCTGTGGTTAAAATTGATGAGACCTAACAATTTTCAAACAAATCTGACTTTCTAAAAGTGATCACCATGACGTTGCAATAAATCTCTTATATTGTGGGAGTTTTCTGACACTTTTATTTCGACGGAGGACTCTGCCGACGGCTTGTGGTTTTTGGCGCAACAATCCGATCCTAGCTTTGACTTTGACAGATACCTTGCTGGGGCTAAAAACACCAAAGAGACAGCAAAATCGCCTAAAGTTTATTGCGCTTGTCGTACAATGCACAATTAAGAACATTACGACTTCGAAGCACCCGTAGAATAAACAACAACTTCATAGGTACAGAGCATGTCGGACGAAATTGTTAAAGTAGAGATGTGTTATCAGAGCTATTGCTACATTCAACCAAACGCGTAATATAATTTCTTTCAAGCTAATTACTTTCTACTCGCTTCTACTATACTTCAAAACTTTTCTATAACGTTGCAAAACATCATCTTTGTAGACGGCACAATCGGTCGTCGTATCGGTGGGGTTTATAGAAGGGGATGCAAGACCAAGTTAAAAATCATGATATTATGTGTATGACGAGAGCAATGTGACTCCTAAATTGCGTTACCGAAACTCAATTAATTTACTCCTGGTCATTGTTTATCTCCTTCATCTTTTAAAATCGTCATGAGTACAATGAAAGATCCATTCGTGCAGCCATTCAACTTAACTATATACGATCCAAAGCATTTGCTCCGAAACAACAAACTAAAGAAGCAAATCATCGTATCGTTACAGCACTGATTGTAACATCATTGCGCTTGTCGAACAATGCACAATCAAGATCATTACGACTTCGAAGCACCAGTTCATAAACAACAACTTCATAGGTACAGAGTACGCCGAGTACGAAAAACGAGGGTCACGCTATGTGGGGAGAGTCTTAAACTGTCATTTGAATCTATGTATCTAAAATGAAAGGTTGGGGGCTCTCAAATGGTAGCTCGCCGCCAAATACCTATTTTGTATTTCAGTACACTTCCCAGGATATTCCAATATTTTTGACGGAAACTTTCAGACAGCAACCGATGAGGAGTTTTTCAAGTGATTTTTTTCTATTCATTCGCGGTTTTACACTCCAGTTCTCAAGTGACTTAACAATAAGCAAGCCTCATTATCAAGATGGTGAAGCACTCCATTCTTGCGCTACTTTTTATGTTCTTCGCTGTTCTATATTGTGCTCAAGCTCAAGAGGAGACTTCAAACAATGTAGAACAACTTCCGGTTGGAGCGATACTCGTAGGTGATGAGGAGCCGATTCCTGGAACGAACAAGGAGCATTTCGTAGGAGGCCGTGGTCGATTCTTCCGTCACCGCTTCCGATTTCCATAT